GCAACAAGAGGCTCAGGGACAGAGCCCAATGTCTGAGTTCAAGCCCCAAGATGAGTAAAAAAAAAAAAAGTTAATTTGAATATAACCAATGTACCTTCAATAGATGCAAGTCATTTATCTTATAACAGATGACATAAGGAGCAGCTGTAAGGGCCTGTTACAGAATTTATAATAACTATGGTCAGAATTTGTTAGCTTCCTGCACATTCCCCTCCCACATACCAAACACTCCCTAATCCATCAAATGTTTTAGTCTGCCTCCTTTATCATTTGTTCTTTCCTACTGCTTTTTATTTGTGAGTATTTACACTTTTTCTATGTTAAACTTTTTGCTCTGATTACAGGCTACTCTTACTTTTGAGAAACCATATGAAATTTAAAAATTAAAGAAAAAAGATATTACTGCTGGTGGGGACGAGAATAATAGTAATAGATTTTAGAAAGAATCCAAGATCTTCTAGATACTCTGTGCATTTAATTTGTTAAAATGAAGACAAATAATATTCTTAATATATCAAAAGAAGTTGAAATTAATCAAAATCAATTGATTAAAAACAGTCAGCCATACAACAATTGTATAGCATTAAAACAAATTCACATTAAAGTACAAAATATGAAATGAAGACAAAATCTATAAATACATGAGAAAAATGAAAGACTCTTGAGGTCCAAGAATTTCTATGGTTAAAAGATTTAACACAATTTTAATACAGGCCTAAGGATATGGCTTAATGTCAGATGCTTTCCTAGCTAGTTTCATGGCTCTGTGGTTGATCCCTTGTGATTCAAAAAAACAAACATAATTTAAAAAATAAAAGTGTGTCCGGGCCTGGGAATGTAACTGAATAGCACAGTTTATTCATGAGGCCCTGAGACCCTCGGTTTAACATCTAGAACTGGGGGAGGGGTGAGTAATGGGGAAAAGAAGCTACCTTCTACAAGGAGGATAAATAGTCTAGCAGTTTGAAGACAAGATCTTTTTTTTTTTTTTTTTTCTGTTGTCCTGCACTTGACCTCACTGATGTGGAAAAAGCACTCAGAATCTGATTCTGAACATCCATATGAATGAAGAACAGAACAAGTAAATACCAAAACAATATATGTGATGTTAGAAAAGACAGGGAATACAGGAATTCATTCTATTGGCTTTCCATAAATCAAAAAATGAAAATTAAAGGATGCATAGCTAATCTTTTGAGAAAGAAAAATATGACTACTGGCAATGAAAAGAAATGTAAAGAAATAAAAATATCCTTCTGTGAGAAAAAAATCACCTTTATCCCTTTCAAATTATGTATCTAACAATAGTAGACTTCATGCTTATGTTTAAAAGTATGTGTAAATATGAGCATATATAATAGAAACCTATAGTCATATATAGGACAGCTTTTAAATAATACATTTGCAAACTCTTGAATTATTTAATTCTTCCCTTAAAAAGTTGGATGTCTAGAGCAGTCTATAACTATTGTTAGATTAACAGGAAGGACAAAGTGATGATTTCCAAATTTTGTTTTCCAACATATGTTCCAGCATTACAACTATATATTTCAACTCCCTAATCCAGGCATTTTAGCTAAATATGTGTAAGGATAATACATTAAATTAACAAAACTATGATAATAGTTTATAACTATTCTCCAGGTAAGAAAACACAAAAGACATTAATGGTTCAAGATGGATTTGATGATAAGATGAACTATTAATGCTCATCTTAATATAGTACTATAGTTTACTTGTAGCTAAATTATATAATTTTAAAATTTCACTTTTAATTTAAACTTTTTTAGTAGAAAAAAATAATTGGCCTTGTCAGGCATGCTGTTAGAATATCTATATTTCATTTCTAAGAGAAATTTCAGTATTTTGTAGTTGAAAAGTAAAGAATAAAGTTTATATGAAGAAATTGTCTTCATATAAGCAAAAGGAAAAATTAAAAATTAACAAAGAATTTTTAACCAAAAGTTATAGAATTCAAAGGAGTTATTCATGGAAAATCTCAGAATGGCCAGTATTAGAAACTCAATGCATAATCTTACAGTCTTCTCAAGAATCAAATGTGGTTTTGAATAATTATAGAAAAGTCTATGTTTTAACTCATTAAAAAAGCTTTTGTTCCAAAAATAAGGAAGGGAATAGCAGTAGAAAAATGACAGGTTATAGACAAAAATATATGAACAGTAATTAGTATCAATACTATCATTAGTATAGTAATGTGTAATAACATATTACATGAGGAATGCATAGAGCTAGTGGAAAAATATTAAAACTTTGACCTTTGGCAAAGCTTATATCCAATAACAAAGTTTACTGTTTTGAAGTTAACTGTTTTCAAAACAGAAAATAAGAACACCTTGTTAAAGAAAAATCTCCCCTTTAACTTTTCTGATTATTATCAATTCCTCAAGAAAATGTGACTCTTTTTCAATAAATTCTTAGGAATTTCCAATAATTACAAGAGTTCATTTTAATTACTATTCCTACAGAGAAAAAATTCAAGCAAAGTACATTATCATTGTTTGAAGTACATTGCTTGAAGAACTACTTATGATTGGACTTTTACTTCTACAAAAATAAGTGAAAATGTTTACTATAATTTTGTTTAAATATAACTGTAGTACTATGTATTGATCATTTTTAATTCCAATACTGGTATTCTCCTAATAACTTATTAGTAAAAAGATTATAGGAGTACCATTCTACTATCACAATTAAATATTACTTTATCACCTTGTGTTAATATAGTACACTTGCTTCAAATTTTTCAATACTATTAACATTTTTTAATCAAGATGATATATGTGGTTCATGGCATCATGTATGATTTGTGTGCTTTAGATAGACTGTATCATTGTATTTCCATATGTGTGTATATGTTTGTGTGTATGACAGGGAGAGAGGAAGAGAGAGATTAATGCATGTTATATATTATATTAATCTATGAGAATAATATATACCATGTCATATATTACACATGTTCTATTCTATATCTACAAATTCAAATTTTGGGGATTTGTCCAAATAAAATTTGATGACATCTAAAAACATCTGAAATATATTGCCTTGGAATTATCTCTGTTTTTATAACTTTAGGTATTTGCAAACCAAAGAAGTATAATTTTCAATTTCCACTGGATCAGTCAATATAGTAAACTATTATTCAACAATATTCTCAAACTGGTTATGAACATAGATTCCTTGGGAGAAACTATGGACTAGACTAAACGTCAAAATGTTCCTATCTGCAGAGTAGGCCTAACTTGAAGAAAGATGCTATATTTGGTGTATGTATAGAAATAGGCTTATACAACATTATCAGTACAATAAACATGTAAACAGCACAAATGTTTTGCTTGATCTCGCAGCCCCCTTATTTCAGACATTAGTCAATGAAACAATACTCTAAGGTTAACTCTAACAATTGTATGTCGTTCATTATAATTAATTACAAAATAATGTAGTATACTCAGATTATTTACTCCTAGTATTTTCATGTGAATATACGTTAGAACAAGGCTGGTAAGTACTTTACCCTTTGATATACAAAATCTCATGCTTCCTAATATAGCATAGTAAAATATGGTTGTGATACAAAATGACAGGACTGGTGAGTGGCTTTAATTCTGTACTGAGTAACTTAGTCAAAAAGAATTAGAATAAGAAATTCTAAGAACAAAAATACTAAAATCCCATAAGGGAAAAACATTTTAAAGCCCCTGTGTCACATTTAACTAAGTTGTGGCTGTGGTAAACAATATATTTTTGTACTGTGAAAATTAAAATTCCAATGGCCAAAATCTCAATTTAAGTAGTTATCAGATTTTCATTTTATCAACATTTCAATTCTGAATCTGGTTGTGGTTTTTTTTAATTCAATTATAGATAAGTCTTTTCCCATTTGTGACCTATTCATTTGGGGTTGTCATTTTCAATTTATAAACATTTGAAAACTACTAAAGCAAACTCTTCCAAAAAAAGAAGATTGTGGGAGTGGGGAGGGAACGGGAGGAGAGGAGAAGGAGGAGCAGGAGGCATTGTAAATGACATCTAGAGGGAAAACTAGGCTTTAATCCCTCCTCCCCAGGCACCAATTGGACGAGTGAGGGGTGGGGGGTGGACTTGAGTTGTGTGTGTGCTGCTGCCCGGTAATGACTAGGAAGACCTGGCCCTAATAACCACTCTATATGCAATTTGTTTTAGCATTTATACCACTGATAGTAGGAAGCAATCTTCTTTAATGGATGCTGAAAAGCTTCACGTGAAATCTATAATTGACAAAGGCTTCATAGAAACAGGTAATTAAGAATAAAATTATCAAGTGGCTCCACAGGAAAAGCACTCAAGCTTTCACAGAATACTTCTCTAGGAAAATATTTAGTAAAAATAAAAACTTAAAAGGGCCAGGTGTGATGTCTTCCACTTTATTAACTGTGCCCTGGGCCTGACCACAGGTGGACTGAAGCTTCTAGAGCCTAGAACAATTAATCCACCTGTTAACATTATTAAGGTGCGGGGGGGGGGGGGGGGAAGGGAAAGAAAAAAAATACAATAAAGGCAAACCCCAAAGTAAAAGTTGAGGCAAGTTCTGCAGCTCTTCAAAACGAAAGCTGATCCGTCGATGGTTTCTTTTTTAGTATCTGAAGTTTAATAGAGTAATGCCAAGTTGGTAATAAAAGCAAAGCATGCTGAAAAGCAAAGCAGGCTGGTGACCAGGACAAGGGAACTGATTATCCCTCAAGGCTCCACGGCTCTGCTTCAATGTTACTAGTTCTGAACAGGATCCAAAGGCATCTGAAATGATGCCTATAATTAAGAGCTCAAGAGTGGGTGGGGAAAAGAACAGAACTGCAACTGGGCCTCCCTCCCTCCTTGCCCCTTCAGCCCACCCCCTAAAGAGGTTTACCTGCGCAGGTGAATGGGGGGGGGGGGAAGAGGGACTGGAGAGGGCCGGCAAGCTCTGGGTGTCCCGCGGAGGGGAGGCAGAAGAGGGGAGCACTTACTTTGAGCAGCTTACAGCGGATCTGCGCTGAGACCATGTGGCTGTTGCGCAGGTTGCCCACTCGGAACATGAGCGTGAGTTTCCCGTCCCTCATGGAGATCACCGCGTGCTCGCTGAACATGAGGGTCTCGGCGCGCTTCTTGGGCTGGGACATCTTGATGAACATGCAGCCGATGAGGAAGGCGTCCACGATGGAGCCCAGGATGGACTGGAAGAGGAAGAGGATGATGCCCTCGGGGCACTTGTCGGTGATATACCGGTAGCCATAGCCGATGGTAGCCTCGGTCTCGATGAAGAAGAGGAAGGCAGAGGGGAAGTTGTAGACGTTAGCCACGCAGGGCGTGTAGTTGCCGACGTGGGCTTTGTTCAGGTCGCCTCGGGTATAAGCGATCACCCACCACATGGACGCCATGAAGAGCCAGGCCACCGTGTAGGTGAGGATGAAGATGAAGAGGTTCCAGCGCCACTTGAGGTCCACCAGCGTGGTGAAGAGGTCCGAGAGATAACGGCTGGTCTCGCTGCCCAGGTTTCCGTGCTGGACATTGCACCGACCGTTCTTGTCCACGAACCGCTGCCGCTTCTTCTTGGGTACCAGCTGCTGCTGCTGCGGGCCCTGCCCCGGTCCCTGGGGTTGCAAGCCAGAGCCGCTGGACGAGGTGGTCACTACCTGGTAATCGTCCCCAAATTTCCTTCGGAGTGCAGACATAATACGGAGGGGCGAGCCAGATTCAAGCGCGAAGCGAAGGCGCTGGAGCCAAGCGCTGCAAACCAGCACCAAAAAGGAGGTGGGAGCCGGGGGGGAGGGCGGGAGGGAGGGAAGGAGGGAAGGTGGGGGCCAAAGCAGGCGCTTTTTTCCCCCGAGCTTTGGGGGGAGCGGGGGTTGGGGCTGGGGGTGGGGGAGAAACGCACCCAGCGCAGGAGCGGCGATCTCTTGCCCCGCGGCCAGTGCCTCTCCTCCTCCCCCGGGACGGAGATCGGCGTTTCCAAATTGAGTCTTAAAACATCAACATGAAAAAGTGTTCCCGGGCACTCCAGGCAGGAGGGACTCGAGGACCGGAAACCCCCGCTACAATTTTGCCTTCCAGCAGCTTCGCGCGGCTCCTCTTTTCTTTCCCCACCTCTGGCATGCCGGGGCCACCTCTCTTACCTTATCCTTCACCACCTGGAAACTGACTGTTGAAAAGCAACGGTTGGCCAGCAATTCCCACCTCACCTGCCAACTCGCCAGACTGCCAGAGCTGCACTACCTGCTTGGACCAGACCCTCCCACCCCCTCCCTTCTGCACCCCAATCTCCCGCTCCCCACCCCGTCCCCCCGCCCCCCCCCCCCGGGGAGAGGTCTTCCTGGCTCCCCTGGGCGCTCGGGGCCGCCTATCTTTTCGCCAAAATCCCGCCCAAAGGCATGTCTGCAGGGCCGGTGATACAACGCCCCCCCCCCACGCCCCGCTGGGCTCAGAATCCCCTGGTGGGCGCGAGCGGCCACGAAATCCTTGGAGCGGACCTTCAAGTCCCCCGCCCCACTTAAAAACACCCCCGCGCGCAGGCCAGGGTGCGGAGCCCCGCACTCGCCCAGCGGGAGAGCGCAAGAGGCAGCGCCGCAATCGGCAGCGGCAGCCTGGCCGCGCACCCTGCGCTTAGGGCCGTTTTCCCACTTCCTACTTTTCCTAGTGGACCTCGATGGGCGCCCGAGCAGGTCCTTCGGGCTGCGTGCGTCCCCGACAGCCCACACTGTCCTCAGGAAAATAAATTAAAAAAATAAATTCCTGCCGCGCTGGGCACTGAACTAACCGGGACACCGGACTCTGGGGTTCCTTGGCGCGGTGTCCTCTTTTCCAGGCAGATCCGTGGTGTGGATTGCTGATGGACAAGGTTCCAGCCTTGGGCTGCGGATCAGACTTTCGGGTTCAACACGAGCACCTCTCTCCAGCTCTTCCTATGCCTGGCGGTAGAAACCTTTGCCTCTTCCTTCCCAGGTCCACTACTCCCGGCCCGCGCCCCGGTGGCCCCGGGTGGAGGACGCGAGGCGCTAGCAGAGGCGGCGGGAATGAGGTGTGTGTGCTGGAGCGTGAGAGCAGCTGCAGAGCCGCGCTAGCCCCGCCTGTCCCTGCCTTCCCCCACCGCTCCACCAGCCCCAGTTGCACCTCCGCGCCTCAGTTGAGCCTGCAGTGTCTGGCAGCTCAGGAAAAGCTAGCCCCTCCAATGAGAAGCAGCTATAAATCTGCTCCAAACGTCAGCCAACTCTTCTTCCTCACCCCCTTCCCCCACCCAATCGCCTTGCATCAGTCAGAAAGCCCCCAACAAGCAGCAAATCCTGCTCTCTGAAAGAAGTACAATATGTTTCTATAAGTAGGGCCCTCATTTCCATGGATGCCTGCAGCTTGGGGGACACATCATAAACAGTGATCCCAACTGGCTAGGAGATGGGCATTTTCAGAACTCAGAGTTACAAAAGCCAAGCAGCCTTTGGATAACAACAGAAAACGGAGGGGATAGATAGGAAAGCTGCCAATCCTTTCGGAAAATGGCTCTATTAGAACGGCTCAGCATATCTGGAGTTTATATGTGGCTGTAAATGAGGGAAGAAGGCTAGATTTTAATGGCCCCCAGCCAGCCAGTGAACTTAATGGAGGGGCAAAGTGCAGAAATAATTAATATATTGTCCATGAGTACATGCCAGCTTATTTACCACATCTCAAGTTTGGTTTATCGCCTATTTCTTTCAGTCCAGACACATAAAATTGACTGTATTAGAAAGTTGACCGGTCATATTGTTAGAAAAAGTAAAGAGGTGTTGCTAGAATCCTATGTAAGGGGAAATATCCAATCACTCCAATTCTCTGCTAATCGGCCCTCCACTTTACCTCCCTGCCCCTAAAACTTAGTGCAGGCAAGTGTGTACCAGCTTGTCAGCCCTAAGCAGAGGACTCTTGCACTGTCCTTTTATTAAAACATCGAGTTCCAGTTACAGATGCTTTTCCTGCAAGCTCTCTGATAAGAGGTCAGTAATTCTCTGTTATCCTTCCAGATTACATAAGAAGGGAAAGTGACACCACTGTGAGAAGTGAAAGCTGTTCTGATCCTGAAATCATAAGACCTGATTTGAATCCTGACAGAGTCCTTTACAAACTGTGTGACCTTGAGCAAGTAGCTGAACTTCTTTGAGCTTCCGTTTAAACTGTGTTTTGGCCATGGCACAGGCCTGTAGTCCTAACTACTCAGGAGGCTGGGTTTGAAGCCAGCTGGGCAGCAAGTTCAAGAGACTGTTATTACTAATTAACCACCAAAAAGCTAGAAGTGGAGCCTGTGGCTGAAGTGGTAGAGCGCCTTGAGTAAAAATATTCAGTACCCAGGCCCCCTAGGACACACACACATACACACACAGAGGTAATTTAATTTACTATTTTCCTAATGTGGATATGAAGAAAAGAGATTGAATGTGGCTTTGTAATCTCTGTTCTGAAGAATGCTGTAACTAGGCTATCACATTTCAACAAAGCCAAGAAGAGATTATGAAGAGTTGGCACCATGCTGTGACCTAACCAATATTACCATCTCATCTCTGACCACTACTCCCTGCCCTGGCTCACTATGCCCTTGTCAAGATGGCTTCTTTCAATTTCAAATCAAGGCATAGACAGCCCTGGCCATCTGCATATCTGCTATGTCTAACTACAAGGTTCTTGACCTGACGTACTGGCTCCTGTAGTCAGGGCTCTCAGTCTAACTGCATCCTCCTCTTCTGGGTGACTTTCCCAAGTGGACCAAGTCCTCTTGTCACATCCACCATCTTCATAATACTTTCTTCTGGCTGCTATTTTCTTCATGTGTTTGATGTCTCTCTCCCTCATTAAGAATTAAGCCATAACGGAATCATAGTAATATATTTACAATTATATAAATGTGGTTTACTTATATAATTTATACACTAAAGCATACATATGTTTATACTTACATAGCTAGAGGGTTATAATTATTTATCATTTATATACTAAATTATATGTATGTACTTACATGATAAACTAAAAGAACTTGGAAACATAAAGACAGAAAAATTTCCCATGTGTATTAACCTTTAAAACTGACATTTATCCAGATCCCAAGTTATTTTCATTTTGATCTAATATCTTTCAAACTATCCCCCTACCCACCTCATATTTATATAATACCAATAGACATCTTTAAGACTGCATTTCATGTCAGATCAAAATAAGTAATTTTCTGTTTTTTTGTTTGTTTTTTGGTTTTGTCGGTAATGGGTCTTGAATTCTGGGCCTGGGCACTGTCCCTGAGCTCTTCAGCTCAAGGCGATTGCTCTACCACATGAGCAACAGAGCCACTTCCAGCTTTCTGATGGTTTATTGGAGATAAGAGATTCACGAACTTTCCTGCCTGGACTGACTTTGAACCATGATCCTCAGATCTCAGTCTCCTGAGTAGCTAGGATTACGGGCATGAGCCACTGGCATCGGCTTATTTTTCTGATTTTTATTCAGTCATTTCCTTTTTCAAATTGTTCTAGGTAGTATTACTAGATCTACTGCCTTAAAAATGAATGTATATTTAATTCTGGAATAAAAGGCAAAGTCTCAACTACTGTTTGTTTTCTAAATATTCTCTTAAAATATGTCTTAATGCAAAACATCTTTGCCATTTACTAGCAACCAAATTTATAAACAAATAAGTTTATGCATTAAAAATCACATTCTGGTCCAATTTTCTGATTTTACAAATGTACCCAACAAGGCTACAAGAGTAAATGACTTGCTCAATGTCACAAGGCAGTTAAATGGAGACTGACATTTGAACCCAATGAGTAGGTCTTCAGGACCTAGGTACTCCATCATCCTCTGACCAAGAGTCTGCACTCTTTGCACCTAACCCACAGCAAAGACCTCCCTCCTCTGTATACCATATTCCCACTGGTGCTGAGATCTGAAGCCTATCAAAATGAAACCACTCACCAAGACTTCCAAATTTTTTTCTACCTCTGTGCCCTACAGTAACTTCACTTACTCTCATTTCTTATCACGCTAGTGCCTTATCATTTCATCCAGACACCAGTATGCAAGAACAGCAAAGCATTTCTCCATATTATGTTTCAGTTACCACCTCTTCCACGCAGTTTCTCTTCTTCCCCATCACTACCTGTAACCTATCCTTTATGTACTCACATTTCAGCAGATTCATCATGTAACATTTTTTTGCACATTCTAGCTAACAATTCTGCCTAGGATTTACTTATATTCCTCCTGTGAAAAAGAGCACATCCTCCTCGTCCTAGTATTCCTATCTACTACCCTATCTAGATTCCAGTGATGCATCCTAGCCCCATAAATGCTAGCATGTAAGAGAGTTCTGGAGATAACCCACGTACAAATGTCTAACTTTAATGTGTCAGGCAACACACTTGCAACTTTAAGGGCAGTACTTATACTATGTAGCTAGAAAAAATGAAGCAGAGATCCCAAAACACATGTGCTTGTTTACAAGGTCTCTATTATTTAAGAGACAAACACTGATAAGTTAATTTTTTTTCAGGATGCCATCATATCATTCTTTAAATGTAACAGAATCTTTGACCTCCTTGTGACATTGAGTCCAACTCCCTGAAAATATTTTCAGTTGAATCCAACTTGTCTTTTTCTGTGAGGACAGCTGCTCCCAAGATGAAGTTCTGGAGGGCAGCCAGCACCATGGTGCCAAGGCCAAGTGGTATGTGTGGGGAACGAATGACAGAAAGCCATCTAATCAGGTGCTTTTGGATGAACTGAGGTCAAACACTTTAA